AGTGAAAGAACCATAAAATAATTCACAAAAAGAAATAGTAAAAGCATAGTAAAAAAGCAGGACTAAAATCGAAAGCACAATGTAGTAAATACTCCTTACCTTAAATGCAGCACTACTCAAACACTCATTGCTCTTTACAGAAATGCAGAATTCATGGTAGTTTGAGCTGTCGAAGAAATAAAAATTCAGTCTTAGTCTCTCAGTATAGTGTGACAAAGGAGATTTGCTTCTAGGAATGTATTTAATGAACTTTGTGGTTTAATTAAGATTAATGTTTAATAACTGACCTTGTTTCCAAAAGAATTTTAAGTTCAGACTTCAGATGAACTGTGTATTTTATATTCAGTTCTTAGCTCCCACCTGTACAAAAACCAAAAGTGTAGTTGAACTGCAAATAAAGCTTGGAAGATAGTAAACAGCCAACTGATAATCTGTTCTCAAATAGCAAAACCTTAGTTCCCTGTAAAGAAAGATGAGAATGCTCACAGCAGAGGAGTTGGGGTGTCCCAGGTAGGGCTGCAGACACTGGCACAGTACATATAGGACGTTTTGTGAGTACTATGCAGTCTCACAGCTTTATTCCAGAAGGAAGGAATAAAGTCTGTCCCTTCTTTATGGCAAAGAGGCAGCATTTGCAAATCTATGCAAAGAATGGGAGTGGGACGCTGGCTTATTTAGGTGCTTTGGGAATAGGAAAATTTTATGTTTGACTGCTACAGAAATGACTCCTGGTAACACGTGACAAGGCAAGCATTTCTTAGGGCACTGAACAGAAAATACTTCGACAGTAAAAGAGTTTCTTCAAATTCTAGGTCACAATTCTCTTAATCACTCTGAATACTAAAAATAACTGACCCTATCAGTTACTGTTCAACATTTTGTTATAGTAATGGATTACTACTACTGCTGAGACATGAAATTATTTTATGAAAAATGAGAAAAATACAATGCATGCAAACAAATTGAAAGTAAAGTTTCAAAATTCTTTTTTTTTTTTTTTCCCTAAACTACCTTTTCTTCAGTTTTGTTATTCATTGGAGAGTTTGCTTACTTACATTCAGGACTCATTGCAGAGGAGAAATAAAAGTGCTGGAGGCAGGAGTTGATTTCAGCAGGAGTACTGCCAGTAGGATTTTTGGTGGTGGTGGCGGCTTGGATGATTGGGGTTTTTCCCCCCCAAAAAAACTATGACCAGATCTATATCTTCTGTGTTTCACCCCAGTGGATTGTACAATCACTGTTTTAGAATCATTCTGTATTCCTTTTGCAATGGAAACTAAAAGGACAGGTGAGGAAAAATATGGCAAAGGATGTTTTTCCTAAAGCCTTTAATCATTCTTAACTGATACAATCAGACCTGTGAAATGTGGAGGCTGGAATGTTGCACCTCCATGGAAAGTGCTGAAAGAGTGGTGTCAGGCAAAAATAAAACAGCTTTAAGTTTGGGGTTTGTTTTTCTACTGAAACTTTTTGTACCACTTGCCGTGCACTGAAGAGTTTGCAGCTACATTTCTCTAAATGAAATGAACTTAAACACTCAATGAATATTTTGTCAGTCTTTTATTTATACCAAGTTTCATTTCATCAGTTTTCCTGGATATGAGACCTTGAAGAGCCTGCTGAATATCTGAGATAAAAGCATCTAAGCAAAGACAGTCCTTGAGTACATCAGTTTTACAGAAGAACAACAGATTTCCACCAAATTCTATAATGCTACTGGCATTGAGGTATAAAAACAGCTGCTCTCTAGAGACAAAAAAAAAAAAATTCAATGAATGGCCTGATTCTTAACATCTGTAGTACGTGTCCAAGAACATCTTCTAAAAGCTTCTCCAAAATACTGAATGCAGTTAATAGCCCCACCACCTCTGCCGCCTTCCTGTTGAGAAAACAATCCAGAAAGCTGAGGGACACTAGGATGCTGCAAATAACATACACAGAGCCTGAAGTCTCCCTGTCTGTCACTGCCTTTGCCAAGAGGAAAGCAAAATTAGTGTGGATTGCTGCCTGTCCTGACATACACCACTTACACACCCACCTCCCCCCATCTCCATGGTAACTACAGCACCCTAATTTAAACTGCACCCCCCCTTATTTAAACATTCTTAGTGGTCTGTAGGTCATCTGCCCACTAGCAGGGGACACACAGGAGCTATTTCTTATATCTTTGGTTTAGGTATCTGCAAGCCTGTTTGTATCTCAGGGCATCCATCTTTTGTAGAGCTGAAAACGTGTGGCAGAGGTTCAGTTCCTCTGGCATGACAAAGGACAGTGGAATTCAGCCACTTCAGATTGGTACAGTTGGATTTGGAAGTCAGCCTTTGTACTTTCAGCATTTAAAATGCTGGACTTGGCAGGTGTCCGCTCCCAGAGCCTGTGTCAGGCTGTGAGGCTGACATTCCACATATTGGTTTCCAGTTATAATGTCACCAAAATTAGGGACCCGTGAAGTTTATTTGTTGTTTTTAGTAGATATATATGATTATAGTTTAAGAATAAAAATACAGTTTTATTGGTCACAGTGGTGGGGTGAGGGAGCTGTAGGCTGTTTCACAGCTACAACCATTTTTGGGAAAGGAGCCCCAGATGCCAGAACAAGGGTGACTGTTCAGTTTTCACAGGAGAGGAAAGGCCAAGTAAATTGCAACCCTCACCTGAAAGCATCCTACTTCATTATCCATGTTTCACAGTTACACTGAAGTCACAATAAAAATCCAGCTAAAGTTTTGTGATGACCTTTAGCCTGCCTGGATGCTGCCAATTTCTTCCTAGAAGCCTTTTCCCTTCCATGCAAACAGATTTTTTTTTTTTTTCTCCCCACACCTGGAGCAGCTTTCACTGGACCTGCCACTGACACCCCAGCCCATCTTGCTGCCCAGCCTGTCATTCTCCTCATGTGCCTCTAATGAAACTTTAAAAAAGGTGGAACACTTAGAGCCACTGAAAAACTTCAAAGTGAAAAACTGCCTTTTAAGTTTGCCATAGAACCAAAGCTATCTTTTCTTTTCACCCAGCAGCTTCACATTGCTGTTACCATACTGCCAGTGCTAGAAAAGTGAATGTGTATGTACTGACCATTTAGGGAGGGGAAAAGATTATTCAGAGCTTTTAAGAAGCTTTGAAGACTATAGTGTTGTCAGCAGTTCATTAAATTAATAAAAAAAAAAGTGTGTGTGTGTGTGTGTGGATAGGTGTGTCTGTTTATAATAAATCCTCTGATTAACAGGAAAGAAAAAAGTTCATGTGAACCTTTGTCTCTCTCCTTCTCATCAAGTAAGTATATTGTGGTAGTATTAAGCAGTGTGAAATTTGGCCAGGACCTCAGTTCATCTGCCACAGAGCTACTGCTGCAACCCAGTCAGCATCCCCAGAAAAAGAGATGTGCTGGGGACTACAGATGTGTCAGGAGTGTAAGGACAGGGCCTGGGAGCAGAAACGTTACTGACAGCCTGGAAGTTTGTAAAATGTTTGGTTTAAAGTCAGTATTTGAAATCAGGCTTTGGGGTTCACCATGTGCTTTGAACTTCATGTCAAATGGTATTACTGGAGCTGTGCTGTCCTGCCAGGCTGAGCTGAGTGGCTTCCCTAATTCAGTTTATAACCCACAGCCCCCACAGTGTAATGGCCACACACTATGCTGCATAGATCACACAGGTCTTATAAGCTATTCTTTCTAGAAAGCTCATGTGCTGCAACCAGGAATGAACTTTGGCAGCCATCTGGGAAATTTTACACCTTTTCTTGGAGCACAGAGATAATTTTAGTTCACCATCACATATAGGTGTGCATTCAACCAGGTCTCTTAACTGTTTTAACTGTGGGGTGGAAGTAGTAAGGGGGGGGAGGCTGGCACTTCCAGAGAGGAGCAGTAAACGTTGTATTAACTGGGTTTTCTTGTGTTTCCAAATTGCATCTAAATCCAGACACTTGGCTGTATTTTTTATTTCTGCCTTATTTTCATTTGTGTTACACAACCAACGTGTTCCTAAGTATTACACAATAATGATGAAGACAGACAATAACACACTCCAGGTTGAGAACCTGCTCAATTCATTTCACCTGGCAAAGGGGAGAAGCCCTTGAAACCTTTCCTAATGACTCAGTTTGCAAAACTGTGTTTTGCCAAAGGCCATGGGGTTGGACTGGATGGCAAAGCACAGGACCACTGCCCACTAAACCCATGGCCGTTTAGAGAACTGGCCTCAGTGCTTCTACAGAAGGCAAATGCTCCAATAAATGGGATGTTTAGAAGGTTAATTGTACGCTCTCCAGTTATATAGATTAGTCCTACTATTTTTAACATGCAAAGCACAGCGACCTTCCTTGGTGTTACTGTTTTCTGTTTCCATGAGTACTGATCAAAAATACCTTTGCTGGACCACTTGCAGGCCTGTGCAGTGTGCTGCTGAAGGTGGTAGCAGTAACGGGGATTACTTTATTCTACATTCTACCTCTTAGATTGGCAATCCTTAAACAGTTGAGAGGTCACACAGTCACTGTGATTTCTGTATGCTATCCTGGTCTTACTTACCCTTACAGATCTTGGCTGCTGACTTGGCTCCTGACAAAGCCAGGCACTCTGTAGTATCCCTGCATTGCTCACAAGCATGTATGGGAGCCTGGAATGTGACAGGAGCAGCTGGAGACCTTTCCTAGTGCTGAACCAAGGGAAGTAACGGGTCAGATTTTCACAGCTCTTCTTTGACTTGGTTTTATTAGCCACCTGTAGTAATTGCACTGAAACTCTGCAGACAAGCATCATGAATTCACATTAAAACCCAAGAAAACTATTAACATTATCTACATAAGCAAGTATATATTCCATCTGCACAGATTTCTGTATATCACTTTAAATCTGAGCAGAGAAACATGGATGTAGTGCTCAAACACACAAAGGGAAAATAAGGAAGCCTTATTTTTTAACTGTTGTTTATTCCTGCTGATGTTGTGATTAAAAGAAAACTGACTTCCGAGGGTAATGTTTCCTTTCCTTATTACAGCTGGATAGTGTCACTTCGCTCATTCAGGCCGCCAAAAATCTAATGAATACTGTGGTGCAGACAGTGAAGATGTCCTATATTGCATCCACAAAGATTATCAAGATTCAGAGTCCTACTGGCCCACGACATCCAGTTGTGATGTGGAGAATGAAGGCTCCAGAGAAGAAGCCCCTCATTAAAAGAGAGAAGCCAGAAGAAATCTATGCTGCTGTCAGAAAAGGTTCTGCAAAGAAGAGAATCCATCCTGTTCAAGTCATGAGTGAATTTAGAGGCATAGAAATAGTCTAATATTTTGCCACCTTGTGTGTTACTATCTTGAATTGCTGGTGATTTTTCATTTTTCCCCCACTTATTTAATAATTATATATGTTAATGTTTTGCTTTTCTCTAAATCTGTAAGATAACATTTGCTTAAATTATTTGAAAATGCTGTTGGATTAATTAGAAGCACACAGTTGGAAAAAAAAAAGACAACCAACAAACAAAACCCATTTTCTTGCAGTGACAAACTCTCATGGTTTTGTACTGGCCTGTTTTCAACAGAGCACTTTGCTTCCTCCTTTCCAGTTACAGCACAGTCCCAAAGTGCATCGCTCAGTGTGCCAGCCTGCCCAAAATCATACTGCATTCACGAGGCTTTAGGTGCTCCTGTGCCAGGGATGAGTGTGGCCACTACTAAACTGCTTGTGTTTTATGATATACAGCCTTTTAAACATGGTGGCACAGGGCCAGATCCCTGATTGGCATCATTACACCATGATCAAGTCATGATTTGATGTGAACTGAGAGTCTGGGCCCTAAACTTGGGTCTACACTGAAACATCTAAAGATCTCCTCTTGGCTAAGGACCAGCCTTGGAAATGTTTGAAAATGTTTGATGAGACACACAACGTATTGTAACAACTAATGTAATTAAAAAATCACTGACTGCAACACAGCAGTGATGACAGCTCTTTAAAAGCCCTTAGGAAGCATTAACATGGATCTGTGTTCTGCTCACTGTGAGCCCTAAGAAATCTGCTGACTATTGTATTTGGAAGTTCAGATAAATCAGACATTAACAACAAAACTTTTCTAATTGCTGCACAAAAGAACACACATGAAATGAGTCGTTATTCTGAGATCAGGGTGTGAAATACACATCTTGAATCTTATGAATGGTGAGATTTCTGCCAGTTAACTACAGGGATTTAAGTTACTTTTTCTTATGACAGTAGAGTCCTAAATGCAGGGCTGTGCTGGGAAGTGACCTGCTGAATGGCTGCACTCTTCTCTCAAAGTACATAATGAAGGTAAAAGCTGTTAGTCCAGACCTCTGCAACATACTTAAGATAAATATAAAATTTCTATATCCATTTGAATCTGAAATGCACTTGGACAATTTTTTTTTGAAGACTAACTCCCATGTCATGAAGTTCTCCCAGACTACACTTGCTACTCAAGATGTCTTTTCCTGGCAATTCAGTAGATCGCTTGGTATGTTTATTTTTGCATTTGCTAAGGTGAAGGGGTTCCCTCAAAAGCCAGAACTTCATTATGTGTCACTCACTGCTTTATGAGGCAGCTCCAGACTATGGGCTGCTGTTCCTTGTCATTTATTACCATGCTTTGCACAGCAGTACCCTGACCTACCACAGTGTGGGCAGCAAAAGTAATCATAAATGGTGCCTTTCGTCTTGGGTGCTGCTCTGTTTCTAAGCTCAGGATGGTGAGGCAGTATAATTTCTAGGCTGTTAATTAAGGAACCCTGTGAAACCTATAGTGGTCATGAATTAAAAATTTTCAGGTTGATTATTCCACCTTCCCTAACTTTGCTGTCTCTTAAATGAAACAAAAGGAGAAGTTTGGAAGAAAAATCACCTCTTGCCAACTCAATTTCCCTCCAGTATGTTTGCATGAAGATTTTAGTAATATGTATTGAGCTTTGCTACACCCCGTAGGGTGATAGAGCCAGCAAGTGAGCTTTGTCAGCTTTGTCAGCTGACTTTGTCAAGTGATCTTGTCACCTTGGTTGTGGGGGTGTTACTACCTTTAAACCCTCATGTCTCTCAGGATACAGGTCATTTGGAATAGCAAACACTTGTAACTAATGCCTTGTTATTGTATTATTAATAAAAAAGCATGTACACCACTGATAAAAGGTCTTTAGTCTTGTGGCTTTTTTTTTTTTCCAATGTGTCTTCTCTTCGGTGTTCAAAACCCAGTTCAAAAGCCTGTCAGGTTTACTAATAGGAGCACCAGCCTTCTAAGACACCACATGTACTCTATTAGTCTGCTTTAAGTGAGAGTTTTTCTAGCATTAGTATCACTAAAGCACAGTTTATTGCTTAATTTAATGCTCCTTTCTGCAATGCCAGTCATTACCCTTCTCCGGGATGGTACTCAGTCACCAGTTTGATCTCAACACAGGAATTTATTAGGTAAAAAACAACCTTCTAAATGAACAGGAAAATAAAAAACCACTGCTGGATTTGGAGAAGAGCCAAAAGAATGATAAGTTAATTATATCTAGACTTTTTCTCTTGGATAAAGTTCAATCCCAAGTGAAAACATGAAGTTTATTCCTCACAAAGGAGGCAGAGGGATAAGAAATCCTGGAGCTGTAAAAAGCCCAGTGTATGAGCTCATTACCTCCTCAGTGAAGCAGGGAACCACCACTTCCCTGCCACTACTGGTAATTCTGAAGAGGGATGTACTGCTCAGTAAGTTTCATTCAAAAGCAGCTACTCAATTCATCCTGCAGTCTACTCATTCCTTCCCAGCCCCAGCTTTTGGAGTGTAGCTTTTCACTCTCTTCCTGCCTTGGCTCTGTGTTTGCACCATATCTGTGGTATGCCAGTCTTGAAAACTGTACTCTCAGCTGCAGCTTTGAGAGGCTTTCCCACCTCAGCAGCTTAGATTGTTTCACTTGCCTGCCTTGGTCTCTCCCCATTACCACATTGTGGAGTAATGATGGATGATTGAAGGCAATTTTATAAAAAATAATTTCACTAGAGCAATAAAAAATGAGACTATCATTGTTGAAGCACATTAGTACAAGAGGACAGATTTGCATAATTTTTTTTTTTTTAATAAACAGCTTAGTTGTGTCACTCTGCTCTTATTACTGCTGCTGTTGCTTCCTTTAGTATTTACCAATTCTAATTTGCAAAGAGCAGCTTCTGACACTGCAGATTGTGCTGAGCGTAGCTTGCCATTACTTCAGCATTGCCTCGACTCAGTGAGCCATTCCTGGTATGCAAGGGAGATTGGCTGGGTTTTGAAAGGAAGGTGCACTCACACCAATGTACTTTTTCCCCCAACTTAACCTGGGTACCACTTAGGAACCTCTACAGCTGCACCTCTGCTGAAGAACACAACAAAGCAACCTGGGATCATGATGTTTTAACAGAATTTTAAAAAGTCTCTTTTTGAAAGGTGGTTTATGTTCTTTTTTCTCTCTCTTTTTTTTTTTTTTTTTTTTTGCTGTGAGTCCACAATTGAAGCATTTGAGACAAAGTAAGTGAAGAATAACAAAAGCAGTCATCTGAAATTGTCCAATAGAGACAATAAGAGTAGAGTAATTAAATAATAATTGAAAATCAAGCAAATGATACTAGGTACTTCATTTTTTATCTCCCTGAGAAATCATTAGAACTGGCTTACTCTTTCTCCTAAGGTGGTTAGTGGGGTTGTCCTTTTGCAGAGCTAATTTTTAAAGGAAAGAAAATACACTGGTACTGTTGATTAAAAAGTCATGGATTTTGTGTTGTGTTGCTTCACTGAAAAATATCACCTTTCAAGTAATAAACCACAGCTTTGTAGAAACTCTTTTTGGTATAAAGAAAAACAAAATACCTCCAAAGTAGAAATGGCAAACAAACCATGAAAATGCTTTTAAAGCCCCTCTTGTCTGTATTCAACAGAAGAAACGTGCTACTCTTGTGCAAGGAATTGAAAGCTGAGGGACTAATTTTTTACTCCAGCATACAAGCAACAGTTGAGATGAAAGCTTGTACTACAAGAGGAGGATCTAGCAGTTTTATGTTTAAAGAGTTTTTTACAGAATAGGAAATACTCATGTTCTACTTCCTGATGGTGAAAACGACTGTGTTTAAGCAGGATGGAGACTACAGAGATGCCCTGTCTGCAGGATGATGCTTTCTCTGGACTCTCAAGTCTTCTGTCAGCCTGGCCATTTTAGAGCCACTGACTTTTCGACTGTGGTTCTTTATTTTCACAGAAGACAGCAAATGATTCAATAGCAGCTGAGAACAGTCTGGCAGCTCATTTGCTGTGGGGCAGCCTGGCTTTCTCCTCCCTCAGGGAGGCAGGATGTTAAAGGAGCTGCTGCTAAGTGCTCCAGCAGGCCTGGTATGTACTTGGGCTGTTTAGTTCCCAGAGCTCCCTCATTAGATGGAAACGGGATAGGAAATTGCTCCCACACATCCAAAGTGCAGGACAGAGTGCCATGCCCAACCAGCCAGCATGGTAATCTGTTCTGAGCTGAGAGGATGGGAGAATGGAAGAAAACTAAGTTTTTTGGTGTTTTTTTTATCTTCTCTGATGGAGAGAGACAGTCATTCAAAGGAATGAAAGCAGAATTTCCCTGGAGTGAAGGCTTTACAAGCAGTAAGGAAAAACAGCAAAAGGCTCTTCTATGCTTTCCATTCCCTCTACAAACCAAATCTAGTCCCCTCTTTTCTCTGTCTTAAACTTGCTCCCAAGTGCAGGTGAGCTAAATATAGATTTTGCATTATCCACCCAGTTGTTACCTTACAGAAACTGAAGCACACACTGCAAACTTTCCTAACATCAAGTTGCACTGATTATTTTATGTTACTTTTATTTGAGGTACTAAGGACCTCACCCCCAGCAAGCTGCAAAGCCCAAACCCTCATTGAGGTCTCTCAGAGCTTGACCAAGCAGCAACCAAGAGAAACAGGGAGTTAACCATTCCCACTGCTTCTTGTGTAAATATTTGGTGCAAAAATGCTGTGTTGTTTTTACCATATTCCTCTGCTCAACAGTGACTGTTTCACAGTCATAGTTAAGCCTTCTACTAAAGGAAAGGAACCAGCCTTGCAAATGGAATGTTCTGTGTAGATGGTGTCTAGTCACAGAAACATTCAAACTGTCTTGGCAGATTTTAAGCATCAGCAGCTGAGGCCTTACACATTTGGGAGGTGGCTGCTTTCCCATCTTTCTGTGTTTTGCCCCTCACTGTCAGGTGTGGTAATGGATTTGCTTGGACTAACACTTTTTATAAGTGTGCATTGTCTGACACACCGTGACCACACAGTGTGGACTCTGTGTCCTTCAGAGAAGCCCCAGCTCATATGATGTTTAGGAATTAAATTGGGGGTGGGTCCTCAATTGCTTCACAGAGGTGCTTTTATGAAAGATTAAAAAAAAAAAAAAAAAAAAAAGAAATCCATTCCCCACAACTTCCCAGCATTATTTGTACCCACCTGTCCTATTCCCTTCTGATCTACCTTTTAATTTCCCTCTATTCTGTTCTCATATCATTGTGATATCTATCCTGTCCCTCAGCGTTAGCTTCCTGTCTTCTGTCCTGGACTCTGCAACTTCTTTACCAACAGGACAAGTTTTCAGCATCTCCAACCCCATGCCTCAAGATCCCGTTTCACTGTTTCTTCTTCTCAAAACACTACAAGGGAAGAACAAGGACAAATGGTGTGTGGCCAGCTCAGCAGCCAGTTAAATCAGCACAGCTCTTCTGAGTTCAGTGGGAAAATATCCCCTTGACAGTAGTTACTGTAGCCCTTCTTCTGCAGCAGCTCTCTAAAAATGTTATCCCTCATTCAGATGGGCCAAGAGTGATCCGTCACCTTGAAGTTTGCTTTTGAACAGGTAGAAAGCATGCAAAGAGATATGCTCCCCAAAAGAAAATATGTCTTCCTTGCCCTTTCCTCTTGCTGCATTTTTAACAACTTCTCTTTATTTAGTCATGTCAGGGACAACTTTAAAATACCAAAATACAAAATATGATGGTTATTAATACAGTACTCCAAAGGGCAAACAGCTTCTTGGTAGTGTGAACTATTGAGTCACATGGGTGGGGATGGCACATCCTCTAGCACTCTGTTATCATCCTGCCTGGGCTGAAGACTCTATTAATTTTCTGCATCACCAGCAGCTGAGGACTGAAGCTGGCAGCCAATAATACATGAGGCCACTGCAAGCAAAATCCATGACAAACAAACCCTTCCATCACCTCCTAAAATATTAACAGCAGAATAGAACAGATAGAAAATGCACAACAAAAGAAGGAATACAAAGAAAATTTTTCACAGTATAAGAATCCTTACAATATTGTTTTTCATTTACAGAGTATTTCCACTCCCAAGCAGCTCTCTTTTTCACTGCTAAGTGGATTCTTAGGTTCTGAATGTGCTAAAATGAATTCATGTGCTTTGATTTTCCAAGGTATCAAAGCAGAGAAAGTGAGCAGGTTGTAGCAAGTGTGGGTAGAGCCCTTCTCAAATCTTCATTCGTGAAGCATAGCCATGATGATGACTTATCACATGTAATACATCCTCCACTTATGACTTGGTGTAATGGTGAGTTCGAAGGATGCTGAGATTGAAAACCAAGACACCGCTGAAAGCTCAAAAATAAACCCAGTATTTATTACAAAAGTGGCTAAGTAAATGGGAACCTGAGAGACAGGAAAGGAGAGTAGTGAAATAAGACCTCAGTGAAACCCCCACTCACGCATCTGTGTTTTACGAGGTTGTCTTACCGACCCCAGAATAACCAGAATTCCCTATAGCAGAGGCTGCATCCTCTGAGTGTCGGCAGGCTCACAAGATGGTGGGTGTCCCCACAAAGACAACGTTGTCCTTCATGTGAAGCTTGAGAGCCCCGACCACGAGTCACCTGCATTTTTTATCCAATTAGCTGGTGACATCTCCTTGGGCTGGTGTGGCAGCACCGCCCAGCCAGAGGCCTTCGGTCACTCCCTCTGTTATGTGAGTGCACCCCTTCAGCCATGTGGGAGAACTTTGGGATTCCCCTCACACTTGCGGTGTTTCATTCAAAGGGGTCTTATCTATTTGGGTCTGGGGGCTTTACTTCCTCTCTTCTCTTCAGTTTCTCCTTCAAATGTCCTCTACAGACAATGAACCAATCACAGAA